GTAAAAGTGATACGAAATCTGCTGTCTGTCTGCCTTTCTCTCTCTATATATACATATACATATATATGTATATAGAGAGATATAGATAGAGATATATTTGTCTATCTGCTTGTAACGAGCACAAGGGATCTGAATTTAGAATGACCCAAAATTCGTCTAGAAAACCACCCTGTGTATACCTCACTTAGTCTTTATGCATATGTATTATTTAAGTCTACCTCAGTTTTTAGCTTTAATTATTTGAGGAAAAGGGTACTTAATTATTTTTCTAGAAAGATGATATTTTACTTTATAGTTTTGCATGACATTCTATATATTCCTATATTATATTTTTTGTAAGATAAGAAAATTGTAAAATATGATAGTTTACCCTACAAAGTACAAGTTTTTTTTTTTGTTACCCCCCACCATACATTCTCTTTATTTAAAGGGTAGCTATTATATTTCAATAGTATTATTATATTAAGGTTGTATAATTGATATTTTTGTGAAGAAAACAATATATATTATTTTTGTCAATGGAAGGATTCTTTTAAGTTCTGAAATTACGCATGTATAGATTAAGAAGGACTGTATAAGTGTAATATATGTGATCTGAGTAGACTCTAAAATTCAAAGTATATACAGTGCTAAATCCTGAAAACATAGCTATAATCATAGAGAGAGAGATCGAGATCAGAGAGGAGTGCCATACACCAGCCTGAAAGAGTATTTGATTATCGTGAAATATCTGAGGTAAGAAAGAACATTCCACTATAATAATATAATTAATAAAGTCATGAACTACTGTACAATTGATTTAGAGAAGAAAAGAAAGTACTAATTGAGATAAAACTGAAAATTAGAGATAAAGAGTATATCTTCTTCACAGCTCGAGGCTGGCACATGGCACATGGCTCTTGAATAACATCCGATGTGTCTCTCTTGTTTATAAGAATTTAAAACCCATTCAAAGAGTAAGTGTTCTTGGCATTCATAATTGTATAATATTATAATGATATTTAATCAAATATTACGATAATATATTACTCAGATCGTATATAATAACATAAATATTATATATAATTTGTTTGTTTGTAAGAAAAATTGTTTTTCATCCTACAAGAACTGATTTACTTACATTTAATAACTTTATATTGTTTATCATTCCTAAACTAGAATTTAGTTTCTTTCTAGGAGTGTTTTTTTTTGTGGTTTTGTTTTATTTTTTTATGGTTTGTTTGGTTCTTCTGAAGTTGTGATTTATGCGTCCCTGGGGCTGTGAACAAGAATGAAAGAGCCCAGGACATTGATGAAGACAAGGAAAGAAGACACCTGAGAAGAACAAGAAGTATAAAAGTGACAGGTTGGAATACAACCATTTGGACATTTTTTTTGTAGATGAAAGTTTATTTTACTGTAGATGTGTAATGATCTTTAACTCAATATATCAACAAGTGTAAACTTATTAACTGGTTTGATATTATCCCCTTCTCTCAGTTAACTCTAAGGCTGAAGTTAGATCATAAGCTAACCTTTATCAATATATATATTTTAGTGTGGGTTCTAAAGAGTACTTTGGAGAAACCACACATCAGATTAATAGATAGTGCCCCTCTGGATAGTCTGAGTGGTTCCCAGAGCAAAGTGAAGTAATAAGGTCTTTGATAAGGAGCATAGAAAAGGGTGGGCACTATATGCTGTCTGTCTATCCATATGTCTCCCCATCTGTAACTTCGTAATCGAGGTCGTCTTCAGTCTCAGAATGACATAACATGTTATGTCATTCTATTCATATATTGTTTACATAACATTTTATGTCATTCTATCTATATATTGTTTACATCTTTTGTGTTTTTGTGTTTGTCTTTTGTAGTTCTCATTTTTTCCCATTTATTCTTAAGTATCTGTAATTTGTTTTAGAACCGAACTTTGTATTAATTATTGTCCAACTGACTTTTTAATTGGTTCTTTTGACAGTTTACTGATGATGGAGGTCTAGTTATACCTTTGAAACGTCTAAAATAAAGCTGAAATTCTACACGAATGTGTTAGTATACCTCTTCATACTATATATATATATATCTTTCTTTCTTCCTTTGTATATACATACATACATGTCTATATATATATATATTATATACATATCTATCTATCTATATATGTAGCTGCCACGATAGTCCAGTGGATAACACACTGGACACACTGGTTCGGTCCCCGGCTTTGGCAGTTCAACTCGCCTGCAATCCGACTATTAGCTCAAGCCCGATCTCAGGGCGAGAAGACATCGCCTTGAGAGGTCACCTGCAGATATCGCCTGGAGGTGTTCCTTCAGAAGAACCTCTATTTGACTGCCGCGATGGTCCAGTGAACTCCGATGGAGCACTGAACTCCGACCCTCGTGGTCCCGAGTTCAATTCCGCGGCGCGGAAGTCGCAAAAATGCCTACGCCATAATGCTGGCTCGAGCCTGATCTCACGGCGAGAAAACGACATATCGCCTTGAGAAGACGAAAACGTGG